GTTTTCCACGGTTGCATGGTGCATTTAAAATGCACTTGTTGCTGTCGTCAACCCAGCCGTACTGCACAACATCATGGGTATCATACCACGTTTCATCCAGGTAAATCAGATTTCTTTTCTGCTCTCTATAGATTTTAACTTTGTGCAAAAAGTCTTGGCGCAATTCAACGATTCGAGACGACTCCATAATCACCATTCTTTTATCTAATTTTTTGTATTGAAAACCACACAGTTTTACAATACAGTGCAGTGAGTCTAACCATTTGTAATTATAAAAATCTTCAGGATAATCTTTTAATTTATCCCGTATCATTTCCAACGTGGGCACCAAATTTTCTTTATAAAATCCGTATATTATACGACGAATATCTTCCTGAAAACCCACGTCTATTCTTTTTAATTTTTGCCCTATGCGCTTTCTGTGGAAGGAATGGTTGACTACATCTCCCCTTTTTATAACCCGATAAATGGTAGACCGACTGATTTTTGTCAGGATACAAATTCTGTTTAAAATTTGATTTTGCGAGGAATCTGGATTTTCGTTTTTCAGACAATCATACATATTTAGGATTACTCTTTGGGTCTGTTCCTCTAAATTTTTATGAAAGAATTCTGCCTGCACAGGTTCATCAACCATCTCCTCGTGGCTTGGAGCATTTTCCCAAGGTCTCCAAAGAGCCATATTTAGGACACACAAGAACAATCAACACAACAATTAAATCAACAAGTAAACTGAGTATTCAAAAGTCAAAAACACACAAACTAATAAAATCTATGAAAAAACACGGACAGACTAAAGAAAACACGTTTATTCACCGCTACACGGCACTGGCTAAACTGTTTCAATTTTCAGTAGCCACCTGCACTTGTTCGGAGCTCTGAAATACACGCTTTCTCATTGGCTATGTCCACGCATAGGCGTGCTTTACTCCACGTGGACCGGTGAAACTGCCTTTGATCTTATACGGGGGATATTTGCTGCGAAATTTGGCGATTTTTGCAGCAACAGAGCGTGTTAAATATAGATATATAAAACGCACCCGGTATTTCACAGTGTTTCAAGTGACTTCAGATAAAGTATACATCATTAGTTAATATCTTGCATAATATCAGACATGATCAAGAAAAAAAAATAGTACGTGCATGGTTCTTCCCGATTTGAGTAAAGCGTTCGACACTCTGAATCATGAAATGTTACTAGCCAAGTTACATTACCACGGGTTTTCGCAGAGCTCCGTAAATCTGATAAAAACATACTTAAGCAACCGGTCAAACTGTGTTATGTTAGCAAATGATTCCGCTATTTACAAAACCGATTTTAAACCTATAAAAAGAGGAGTTTCTCAAGGTTCAATTTTATCTCCTTTGCTATTTTCAATCTACATATCTGACGTGGTCAAATCGGTAAAATTCGCAAAGATAAAACAATATGCAGATGAATCACAAATATATCTCCCTTTCAATAAAACCACAATCCATATTGCACAACAACAACTAAATTCAGATCTCCAAAGTATTGACAGATTTGCAAAGCATCACAATCTTAAACTAAACCCCTCAAAATAGCAAGTAATAGTTATGAATAAAAACAGTAATGAAAGAGAACATTTTGAACAAAATTTAGTAATTTCTATTAACAATGACAGAATCCCTATGGTTCAGGAGATAAAAAATGAAGGTATTATATTTGATAGCTCGCTTGGCTTCGGAAGTCATATAAAAACAGAAATTTAGCTTACATGCGACTAAGAAATATAAACAAATTAAAAAAAACATTTATCAGCCAAACAAAAATATTATTTGTGCAATACCTTAATTTTATCACTTTTTGACTATGGAGATGTCGTCTATGGTGATTCGCTATCGTCGCGAACCAAAAAATGCATACAAAAAGTTCAAAATAGTTTCATGAGATTTGCGTTTGGAATTCCATATCGAAACCATATCACTCCTTATCTGAATAACTACAACATATTAAACATGACGAATCGCAGAAAATATCACATGTATTCTTTTATCTATATTGTTATAAAAACAGGTCAACCGCCCTATTTAAGAGAAAGATTTGTGCCTTTGCCTCGTGCCCAGAGGTGCAGAAATAATCTCAATTTTATCGTACCTAGGCATAGAACGCGTTCCTTCCGACGATCGTTTGCTTATGTGGCGGTTGACTTATGGAATAATTTACGAACTTCAGTTAAAAGCTCATCGTCAAAAACATTCTCAAAACTGACAAAAACGTTGTTACAGAATCACCAGCTACTTTAGCAGCGTTTGTGTGAGCAAAAATATCGATTTTACATTCCTACTCGCTGACAAGTTGTATAGATTTGTTCTTCGCGTCCGTTGCCAGCTCCCGGGGTTCTTCCTTCGTTTTTGCCTTTTTGTGTTTCACCGCCTTTTCATTTGCCTCTTTGTTTTTTTTTATTTTGTTTAAGGACTTTTAAGGTGTTCAGGGCTTTCTCGCATGGACTCTTTGTATTAAAGGATCTAATGTATCGGTTTTATAATCGAGAGACTGTCCTTTTTTCATCATTGCTCTATATGTAGAATTTCCTTTGTTTATGATGTTTATTCATGACGAAATAAATATTTTAAATTTGAATGTCTGAGCAATAGAGCTCGCACACGTTGCATATGATATGGATATAGCTGCTGGCCTCTTAAAATCTGACAACTGTGTTTAGACTAATATTCAGTTCTTCAGCTATTTTCCGAGTACTGGTATGAGGACTTGCTTCAATTTAATTTAAAACAGCTCGAACAATTTGAACTGTTCGTACCGCTGCAGGCCCCCCGATGACAACCGTCGATCTTTTAAAGCTGCCTGGTTCAGAAAGTCGTGCATGGAGACGTACAAAAGTTCTTCTATTAGGCACTACTCGCTGAGGAAATCTTTCATGATAAATTCTTCCTGCAGCTGTAGAGTTTCCATGAGCCATTGTTTACGACGGTCGAATTGTTTACTAAATGCTGTAATCGTTTTCTAAGGCAACCCTTGATTATTATTTAGTAGTCGTTATTTTAGATGTCAATGTAATGTAATTTAATTTAATGTTTATTTGTTGTTACATAATTAGTAAAAAAAGTTATAAAAAAATAATTTCCAAAAAAACATGTTCCCCATATTCCTTGTGTGGACAGGGATATGCAATTATGTGGACTTTTTTGTCTGGTTTCATTGATGCAAGTTGTTCAAGGGGGTATTTAAAACATGGATGCATAAAATGGTTACACCAATTTTTGTGGGCAAACTTCTTATTTGACAACAAAGAACGAGAAAAAGTGTTTTTGGGATTCAATCGAGAGTGTTGACAGGAACGAAAGAACTTTTCAAATAAGGTATTTATGAGACCTACAAAATGAGACCACACGTAAAAAGATCCGACTAATAGCAAAAATATGGCCGAACAACGAGGCAAAATGCAAGTTTTGGCACTTGTTGGTAATGCGACGATAATTTCACACAACTAAGTACTTGAAATTCTTCAAATCCGTAGGATTCATACTAAATAACAACCACAAAATTGGAGTATATTAGTCAAGTTGTTTTTTGAGAATTTAATAGCAAAATACACGTGTTTACCGTGCCGATATGAATCACAAATCATTCAATAAGAAAAACAAAGGTCAGGTGGTTTCTTTTAAACAAATTCAAACATTTCGCATTTGTGAGTAATTGAACAAATGCGCTACGATATTCGAAAAACATACGTTAGCATACCTACACATTTTAAAACAAGGTGGATGTGTATATCACCTTTTGGTGCTAATTACTCACAAATACGAAATGTTTAAAATTTGTTTAGTAGAAAAAGAGTAACCCATCCTTTATTGCATAAAAATAACATTTTTCTTCAGGAATGGTTTGCGATTTATATCGGCCAGGTAAGCTAGTGTATTTTGCTATAAAATGCCCTTTGTACTAACCCAGTATATTGTCCAATAAACTAGTAGTGATGGCAGGTGTTTTGGAATAAACAATTAGAAATTCTGAAAAACTAATTGACCAATCTACTCCAATTTTGTTGTGGTTATTTCGAAGTGAGAATCCTACAAATTTGAAGAATTTCAAATATCTGCGAGTAACCATCGTCGCATCGTGCATCGTGCCAAAACCTGTAGTTTGCGTCGGTTTCCGGGCATAACTTTTTGCTATTAGATATTGAGGGAAGAACTGAACCTTTCGTCAAATCCGACACACTGCAAGTTTTTTCGTTCCTGCCAGCACTTTCAATTGAATCTAAAAAACACATTTTCTCATCCTTTATTCTCGAATAAAAAAATTTCCCACATACACTGGTGTACCTATTTGATGCGTCCATGTTTTGAATACACCCTTGAACAACTTGCAGCAATAAAACCAAACTTTACAATTATTTCGCAAACCAGAGGTATTTTCGTCTAATATGATTTGACTAATAATAAAAATTGCACAGAAGTCAGTGACTCAAATTTTTTTGTCACGAACATTCTTTCAGATCCCGTTCGGGATGCCACTGGACTTAATAAATTTAATCAAACTAATGCTAACTTAGCTCCTTAATGTTATTAATATCACCGCCAAATTACATCACAATTAGATAAAGGATATTTAAGAAATTTAAAAAAATCCGTGTTTTTTTTTTAATTTTAACACCTTGTCTTGAGAACAAAGAATTTACGAACCTATGTTTATATGACCTTTCTGTCTTAAAACTACGCAAAGAACCGTGTGCTAAATTTATGATACATACTTGATGAACACCCTGTATATACATAAAAGAGTATGATAGAATATTGAAAAAAAAGTTCTCGGCAACAAAAGGTGATAGACACATCCGCTTTGTTTGAACTAGTGGTCGAGAACTGTCGATAGTGGAGACTATCGATAGTTATCGATAGTTAAGGCATAAACTATCGATAGTTATCGGTAGTTTCCGATAGTATTTCCGGAATGAAATAAATTGAATATTAGGTTAAAAAAATAAGGACTATACGATTTATTATACATCCTTTACCTTCTAACATCTACAAACTGTTATTTTTATGCAAAAATAATAATTTATCGACATTGGCTGGTTTTAGTCTGGATCTCCTATCCGGTATGATTTGCCCTGCAGCACTAAAGTTTCTCTCGCTCTCTACTGAGGTCGCTGGAACACATAGATATTTAATGGCACATTCGTCCATAGGGGGTAACTCCTTGCCGCTTATCTAAAAAAATACTTGTGTTGCCACTTGTTTTGTATTCTTTTCCACATTTAATACACTTAGCTAATTTTCAATCGCCAGATCTTTGAAATAGTCCCATACAGCTGACACACGCTTTCTTTTCATTTTATAAGTTGTTTGTCTTTTTTCAAATTCACAGAAACTTCATCTTCACCTTGGTTATCTTCGGATTCAGACCTTTCTTTTGAGGTACTCGGTTGGGGTTCAGCATTATTCTGATTGTTACCTTAAAATGATAGTCCTGTTAACAAAATATTTCTACTAAACACAAGAATAATGATACTTTTCACCTCTGTTTAACAAGAATCTTTCCATTGTTACAAATATTCAAAAAACTTGTATTGTACTATGTACTAAATTGTGTCAAATGGCGCCAAAAAATATTTAACACCACGAACCACGACCACGTTCTTTTTAACCTTTCACTTTTCCTCTTATTTTGTACTTTACTACACGTTACACGGTTTTTATTATGTTTTTCTTTTATATCAACCATAAAATAGGGTTATGGTTAGGTTACTCTTCTGTATATGTTTATGTTCAATCTCGAATGACTAGAGCTATCGAATACTATAGATAGTTCATGAAAAATATCGATAGTATTCGATAGTCCAAACTATCGATAAGTATCGATAGTAGTATCGATAGTTCTCGACCTCTAGTTTGAACATGTGTATAATAGCGTATGTTTTTTCGAATATCGTAGCGCATCTGGTTGATTACTCACAAATAAGAAATGTTTGAATTTGTTTATAAGAGAATAATGTAACATTTTGTTTTTCGCAGAAAAATTAGATTTATCTTTGGAAATGGTTTATGATTCATATCGACAAGGTAAATCCGTGTATTTTGCTATAATGCCCTTTGGATATTGCTCAATGAACTAGTAGTGATGACTGGAAGTCCGGTGTTTTGGGATGAACAATTAGAAATTCTCAAAAGCTACTTGGCAAATCGACTTCATTTTTGTTGTGTTATTTAGCAGTAATACCTAAGGATTTGGGGAGTTTTGAGTTTCTTCGACTACCTAATATGATTAGACTACTTATATATGACTGAAGTACAGTTAAAATAGCAATTAAATTTCAAAAATAATAAAGTAGATATGCAGGGGGGTCGCAAGTACAAGTGGAACACCCCAACTAGCAATTTTATTTCATAATTCCTTTATTACTGATCCTAGAATGCAAATTATTATTTTAATATCTACCAGTAAGACAATAAGCGTTTAAGAAGCATTTTGCTTTATAAGATAGTCGGAAGAATGTTCTTACAGCAAAAATACAAAACAGTTTTAGAACAAGATTTAATAATGTTTTATAAACGTTTACACAACAATTTTATATGACATTTAAGATTACCGAACAAATTTGGCTTATAATGGATTTATACTGGTATTACCGAGGCAAGTTTATTCGTTTGCGAACATCAATAAAATTGTTTTATTAGCGCTCTGTGAAACAATTATAAAATTAATTGATCAGTATTTTCTTTCTGATATCGCTCGCTAAAGCATATTCCACTCTCGACTTCCCAACTATAAATAGGAAAGATATTTTATAATTTTCATCTGTTCGAGGTCGGTTAAATTAAGGCAAGAACATGGATTGCAATGCTTAACCATACCACGTTTTAAAATGAAACAAATTTAAATGCAATCCAGAATTATCCGGAAAATGAATGCCTATTTTTTTAAATCTATTTATAAATGCTTTTGTATCCGCACAAACATTTTTTGGTTTTATGATAATTATATGATAATTCTTTAAGGTTTCATCCAGTGCAATATGGTTTAGTTAGCAATAATATCAGAAAGAAAATATTAATAAATAAACTTTATAGATGTTTCACAAAGCGCTAATAAAACAAATTTAGTGATGCTCGCAAACAAATAAACTTATATCAGATAATACCAATATAAATATGAAAATATGAAAAAAATTTGTTCAGTAAGCTAAAATGTCGTACAAAACTGTTGTGTCAACACTTGTAAAACAATATTAAAATCTGTCGTAAAACTGTTTTGTATTTATGCTCTAAGAACGTTCTAACGACTACCTTATAAAGCAGAATACTTCTTAAAAGCTCAATTTTCAATTTTATTGAAACAATATTGCGTTCTAAGAGCAGTAATAAAGTAATTATGAAATAAAATAGCACGGATAGTTGAACATTATACAATATCTTTACTAGTCGCCAGCAAGCATTGAAATCCACATTTTTGCCTTAATTTACGTACCTTTAGCGGGTAATAAGGTCGCAATGCTAACGCATCGAATTTGTAGCATCCAGTATTCACGCATGAACTCTTTTTACACTAACACTTTTTTTCTCAATCAATTTTCCTAAGACCTCTTATAAAGCAAAACCGTTTTATAAGAGCTGTCAATGTGATAAAAGCATTTTATAACATGGAAGCCATATTTTGTTATTCCAACGTCAATTTACGACGGCCGTTTTTAAGTGTTTTACAAAAAATCATTATAGCAATAACACAATGTCGTAATTTACTACTTTATTATTCTATAATGGTATGAGATGGTTCAATTGAATTATTTTATAACAATGGAGGCCAGAATAAGAGAAAAACAGGAAGGAAATGTTGATATTTTCTCTTACAATTCAATAATACCTTATATACTTGATGCGCGAATTTCTGCCTATCTGGCATTGTGTGTACAGGGTGGCCCAACGAAAAGGTCGCACCCGTATTTGTGACTCTCCTGGTACATTTTAGGAAAAACGTTCATACAAATCAATTTTGATTTCCAGGGGGACATATTTTCATGTATAGCCGTACAATACAGGCTGATCCAAAAATAAGATATTGGGTCACACTTTAGATTTTTAAATAGAAACCCCCATTTTATTTTGATTTTTAGATTTTCCATGAAGTTTTTAGTGACTTTTGTACAATAAAGCTTATACCTATCTAAAGTGTCACGCAATATCTTATTTTTGGCTCACCCTATATTGTACGGATATATATGAAAAGAGAACAAATCAAAATTGACGTGTCCGAGCGTTTTTCCAAAAATATACCAGGAGTGAGGGTGCGACCTTTTCATTGGGCCATCCTCTATCAGAACTAAATGCAACATGGCTGATGTAATTACTCAAACACATTTTACTAGTTAAAAAGATCTAATGCTTGCGTTTTTGTTGTATCAAAGATCATTGAAAAACAAATTAGTCTCAGTGGGTGCAATTTAACAACAAAAGCAAACGTTTAGTGTTAAGTCAAAACAAAAAATCTGTATCTGAGATAAAAAACAAATTATATAAAATTGTGTTATTCTAGTTCTATAAATCTTTTATAATTGTTGCGTACTATATTTTATAATAATTTTAAAACCTTTTAAACCGTTATCCAGTGAAAGCTGTGAGAGCCATAATAAAACAAATTAAAGATCAAAATTGCTGCACAAGGGTGCGCCCTTTTTGGGTTTATAAGCGATGTATAAAGGTTGTTCGAACGTTTATAGCGGCACTGATGTATTATATACAGGGTGTTCCTTAAGGATTTGCATCCACATGAAAAATTAATGTTAGTTTGCTCTATAAACGATGGTCCAAAAATTTTTCCTTGAAGTTTTAGGGAAAAAATGTAAATTAATTAATATTTTCAGAACAGCTACAGATATTTCACTGATATTTAGTACGTAGTAAAAGCTAGTAAAGTTGCATATTTTTCAATGCAAAAATAAGTTTTAGCTTTAACAGTGGCGTGCGTACGGGTATTGACTGAATGCAAAAATAATTTAGTGGCGTGCGATATTTTTTAAGAAAAAAATGGTACGCCAATGGATTTTTGCCAAATTAATTTTTGGATTCCCCGTTCAATTCAAAACAAATGATCTCTCTTGAATTGTTTTCCTTTGATGTGCCATTTTTGAGTAAAAAAATAAAAACCGTTCTATTGTCCGAGAAAATTAATGTAAATGTCTAGTTGCTCTGGAATATGTCACTGGCTTTTGACATCTGACAAGTTTCTGTTATTCAAATATGTTCGCTGTAACATCTTTTTCATTATTTAGTTTTTACAATCTTGTCAATAATGGTGAATTATTCAAATGCAGAAATGGCGGAAATGCATTACGTATATATATATATATATATATATATATATATATAATCTATATAATCTACAAAATTTTCTTCCAAAATGTGTCAATTTATGAATAAAATACAAGGCAAAAAACAAAACAACAAAATTAGTACAAAAGTCCGTGGAGGACCAGTCGCCTGGCCTCCACGATCCCCTGACCTAAATCCATTAGATTTCTTTGTGTGGGGATTTCTAAAAGAAAAAGTGTACCAGACTCCCGTAACCACAAGAGATATGCTAATAGACAGAATCAGGAATGCATGTGATGAAATAAGGCCTTATTTGAATAATGCTATACCACGTTCGATCATTCGTAGATGTGAATTGTGTATTGAACAATTGGGTTTACATTTCAAGCAACTACTTTAGATTTTGTATGTTTGTCCTAACTAGCATTTTAGTTGTAAATAATTAATTTAATTTGTTAAAAATAATATTGGAATATTAAACAAATTAATATTCTGTTTTTTGGTGTTTATTTGGAGTTAGGAATTCTTGCTGTGTTTAAAAACACAATCTAAACGATCGTCTTAATTACTTGTAATGCCCAAATCGAAAATGTAAAAAAAATATTATTTTCCCATAAATAATTAAAAATGCATCGAACCTTAAAAATCGAAATATCTCAAAAACGGCTAACTATAACGAAAATTCACAAGAGAGCTTTTTTATGTTGAAAAGTGCGAAG